ATTTTAATCTGAACATATTCATGACTTATAACATTCTCATCAACGGTCTTTCTAAATCTAGGAGAGTTGGTACTGCGAAATGGATGCTAATGGAGCTTAAGAAATCGGGTTGCAGTTACGATACTAAAGCTATATTTCAAGACCAGAAGGATTCGAAGAGGGCTTCAGTTGTTTTTAGAGATGAAAAGAGAAGGGTATACTTATGACGGGTACGCGTATTTCGCGGTTATTAGCGTTTTGATTAAAACAGGGAGAACGAAAGAGGCTTACGAGCATATGCAAGAGTTGGTTAGGAAAGGTAGGAGACATGACATTGTTGAATCTGTATTTTATAGAAGGGAATTTGGATGCGGTTGATGATTTGTTGGGAGAGATAGAGCGGAAAGGAATGAAACCGGATGAGTATACGCACATGATTATAGTTAACGAGAAGAGCTGAGGTTTGATTCCACCTTGGAGCATTTTAAAAATAAATTTAGTACCAAAATAACATCGTTTTGGTCACATTTAGTAAAAAAAAATCAATAAATATTAAACCAACCGCGGTATGTCGTTTTCCCTAAGAGCATCATTAACAATAACACCCTTAAAAATTCTTAAGTAATTTTTTAATATTAAAAATATTTGACACTCTTAAAGACTCCATCTCATTAAGTTTATCTATAGAACCTTTTCATCAAAGGTTCATTAAATTAAATAATTTTTTAATCATTTTTAGTGTAAGACACTCTTGAAAAAATCACCATTAATGGTGCTATAAGATTCTACTTCTGTTGTTTTTGTATAGATATAAATTGACCCTAAAATACTTGCTACCTTTTTTTAATAAACATACTTATTACATTGAACGGTCCCAAACCCAAACTTCTTTTGTTTGTGCCTAGGGCCGGGACTGAACCTCTACTGAAGCTACCAGAACCACCGCAAGAGCACACCAAACCACCGCCAAGATTAACGACAGGCCACCAAAATGTTATCAGAGAGGGGATCCAACCACATTCAACATCTTAGTCAACAAGCTAATTATGCCTAAAAGAACAAAGGGAAAGAGCTAAAG